TTTGGCGGTTTTTATGTGTGTTCTACGTAAGCGAAATAATAGTATTTGAGAAATTTTCAATTTTTCAATTATTTAGTGCATTTTAAGCATATGATTGAATAAATTTGAATGAAAAAACTAAAAGTTAGTTGAGAGAGTTGAGATCGCTCATAATGAATTCAGATTGAATTACCTAAAGACTTTCTGAAGCAGTTTATATACCGAGAGAGAGGGAGGGAGACATAGGTAGAGAGAGAGAGAGATAGAGGGAGAGATGGAGGTAGAGTGAGTGAGCGAGAGATCTAGAGAAAGGATTAGAGAAATCACGAGAAAAGAATGCAGGGATAAAGCGAAGAAAAGAGAGAGAGAGAGAGAGAAAGAACTAGAAAGAAAGAGATAAGGAGAAAGATCTTGAAAATTAGAGACAGAGAGAGAGAGAGAGAGACAGAGAGAAAGAGAGAAAGAGAGAGATCTATAGATATATTAATATCAATAGAAATATTATTTCATATCTTCTAGCGAGAGGCATGAAAAGAGATCTAATAAAAGTGCTCTAGAGGTATTTAGAGATATTTAGATAGAGGGATCTAGATAGAGAGAGTGTGTTAGAGAGAGAGAGAGAGAGAGAGGAAGCAAGAGAGAGAGAGAGGGGGAAATCTGGAGCAGATCGGGAGCCAGAAATGGGGAAAAGGGCAGCAACTCAAGGTCAAATTTGTGTCAGACAGAGATAGAGACAGCCTCAAAGGTGCACGCTCAACTTATTTGATACTTATAAAAATATCCCCACAAATTCCCCAACCCAATAGCATAAATATCTCCCAAGATATCAAAATTCAAGCAAAGTAGATCTCTTTCAATATTTTCCAACATGCGTAACTCAATGTCACAACGCATTGCGTGCTTAAAGCCATAGCTATTCATAGGCATGAACAGCAGCAATTGCTGCCGTTGCTGCTGTTGCTTGCAACAGTTGCTGCTGTCAGCTGGGGCACAGCAGCAACATTTGTTGTCCAGTTCTGGCGAGCGTGTTACAATGTGCGAAAACAAATGCGCGTATTTCAATTTTGACAATGCACAAAATGCGTGTCACATAAATTGACGCAATGTGAGCCATGCACCGCTATCAAGTGCACCTACACACGCACACACATGGAGTGAGTGATGTCGAGGTGCCAATTAAAGCGAGTCCACAAAAATGGAACAGAACCGGACTCAAATAGACGCGACGCGATTTAATGCGATACGATTTCGATTCTTGGCGGCATGTTTAATGCACCTTTGACATGCAACCAAGCCGAAGTCCATGCTGAGTCGGCATAGTTTACACACAACAACAACGTGAAGAACAACAACGACAACTGCAGCGGGTTTTTATACTCATTCACGAAAGTGAATCAGTATATTGGTTTTGTGCAATGTCCGTCTTGCTGTCCGTCCGTCTGTCCGTCTGTCCGTCTGTCCGTCTGTCCGTCCGTCCGTCTGTCCGTCTGTCCGTATGAACGCAATCTATTTCGGCGCTATTGAAGCTAGAGACTTGAAATTTGGAACACATACTCGTGTATATCTCCGATTTATAAAGTGTTAAAATTTTCCCGATCCGCCCACTAGGGGCGTGGCATATCGAAAAATACCCTGTAATTTTCACATTTTTTTAGGGTAAGCATTCAAACTTTGCAGTTAGGGTAACGTTATCTCTTTCTAAAAACTGACCAAAAATGAGGTGTCTACGCCCAGTTGGGGCGTGGCAAATCGGAAAAACCTGTATATTCTACAGTATTAGAACGAAACTTAACTACTAAATTGTTGATGGGATGTGAAKGAGTATTCYGCRGYCGGTAACGCCCGACTGCAACGTTCTTACTTGTTTTGTTTGTCGTTGTTCAATATGAAATAGTGCAGAAATTACGAAATTTGTCGTCTGACAAAAAGCGCTGCAAACGCTATAAATTAAATTTACAATTTTGGTGCTCATTAAACGGCAAGAGCAGATCGGCCAACAAATGTTTGTTGCGGAGGTGGGCAATTGGGGTGTATTGGTTGGAGAGTGTCGATGAATCAAGAGGAAAAGACATAAGAATGTTGAAAAGGAGGAGGAATTAAATTGAGATCAGAGAAATGAAGAGGATAAGAGAGATGAGAGATTAAGATAGATAAATATATGAGGAAAGATATGCAAAGGTGCTGAGAAAAAGAAAGACGAGCACAGAGACTGAGAGAAAGAAGAAATCAACAGAAAGAGAAAAGAAAATAAGTGAGAAGTATGGAAAAATTAAGAGTGAGAAGGAAATCGGCAATAGATGGAAAATGGACCAATTTATAGACAGAGGCCGATCCTATGAGAAAAAAAAAATGGAAAATATATGGGCAATGATAAAGAGAGAGGAGAAATACTTAACTCTGCCAGGCAATATATCCCTTAAAATGAATATGCCCCAGTTACACAATCCAAAGCTTAGACTGAAACTCATGCTGAGTATCCTGCAGTCGTGCCCAGCCCCATTGCATTGGGCTCTTACCGAAATCGAGAACAGCAACGCCTTGGGATATAGCCAAAGTAAATGGCTTTAATTGTTGACAATTTGGGGTCGCTTTAAGTCGGCTTTGCTTTTGTTATTTTTATGGCCGTTAAATTTTCTCGCGTCTGTCACAAATTGAATAATGTCTCAATTGAACAACAAGCGAGGCAGCAGCAGCAGCAACTGCACAATTCAGACAACAACAACAACAACAACAGCAGCTCAAACAACATTGTTTGCAGTTGTTTGCAAAGTTCAGCTAATTATGAGCTCAGCAAAAAGCATTAAAAGCGACAAGAGATTTTTTTGTATTAAAGTATTTAGGCAGAGTCTATTATATAATCGTGCAGTTTGATAAACTTATACGAGCATATATATATATATATACATATGTATGTATATCCTGTCAGCTGTGGCGTTAGAAAGTGAAAGGCAAGCATGCAACGCCCACTTGGCACTTGGATAGACACAAAGATACATGTAAATATATAACTATAACTCTATATATATGTATATAGCTAACTACAACTAGATTTTTATATAATTGTAACTATTTTCTGCCTTTTGACTAATTTGCCTGCGTTTGTTGTTGCCTAGCCAAAAACGAAAGACTTGAACAACGAACTGCAGCGGCGAACTAAACTAAGCTTTAACCGGTAGCCAGAGCCAGAGCCAGAGTCAGCCTCTGGCTATCTGACAATCGCACCACTGACCAACATTCGACTCTCGCTGTGTAACAAACATATGCGCACATATACATACATATATGTCTTTATATATGGGTCAGCTGGCATATGTCGTGCCACGTAGACATCTGATAAACTAGGCTGGCAAAATGCAATTTTAATTGCCAATCGTCAATGAATGCGAGAAAAGTTTGTATATGTGCTGTGATAATCGACAAATCAGTTTGATATTGAAAGCTAATTTAATATGTGACCAGAAGTAGATTTAAATAAATAAATAAATAACATAAAAATAAAAAAAAAATAAAGCCAAAGCTGCAATCTACATATGTTGATTATATATTTTAGATAATATTTTTACTATACATGTATTTCATTTTAAAAATATACTTAAATTATTTTGCTAATGTAAGCAAATCATTGTCTAAGCTAAAAGTTCTATCAATTTTTCTTGAAACACTCTATTCTACTCCATTAGTATTACATACCTTGTGTGCATTTAGCCAAGAATCTGTGTGTGAGCTGCACCTTTTCAGAACCACTTCAATTATGCGTAGTCGACTTTCCGAGCTGAACGAGCCCCAAGAGCTGCCCACGCCAGAGATTTTTATTTTCAATGTTCAATAACTTAATTAAAGCTTCAATTTGCATGCAAATTGTAAATTGCAAATATATCTTTGTATACGCAATTTTGATAAATCGATGCGATAATAACCGAAGCAATTAAATAAATAGAGGATAGCCAAAAGGCAGGCGAGCAAACGCTTAATAGCAACGCAATTAACTGGTTGACTTATAAGTGCTTCCATTATAACGAAGAACAAATAATTGGCGTTGATTAAAGCAACAGTTAATTGACATTTAAGGCGATTCATTACTTAACAAACTCTAAAAAGAGTAAAAAAGAAAAAACATACAACAATAAATAAATAAAATAAAAGAGAAGCAGAGATATGCGAGTTAATAACGTCTGCGGGGGCTGCTTTTTTCGTAGTCGAATTTGGGCACAACGCTGTCTTAAAATACCAAATCGAATCGGAGCCAAAAAAGCATTTGCTAATTGCATCGACTGCATGCAGCAGCAGCAGCAGCTTTTCGTGGAAATTCAGTTTTCACATGCTCGACTTTGGTTTTGTACCAAAAATTTACATACGTATTCAAATGTGTTGATACCTATATGCCTGTGTGTGTGTGCGGCGCCACAATTCTCAGGCTCGCATGGACATTGGGGCACTTGTTTTTAGCGGCAATTAATGTTAGTTGCAAACGGGCTGCATAAATCAGCCTAATTGCTATATTTAAATTCTAAATTTGGTTGAGTTTTTCTTCATTTTTTTTTTTTTTTTTTTTTTTGCTGGCTGTTTGTGCACGACATTAGCTTCCATGTTTTTCTTGACATGTAATATATGCATAGTTTTAGTTCTGCTGGCAGGCAACAGGTGGTCCGATATTAATTTGCATTTTTTGCATTTTATGTTTATTAAATTGTTTCTCTGAGTGCATAGAATACCAGTTTGAAATTGCGCGCTCATTTTTGACGATAGTCTGTTATTGTTAACAGTGCTGTTAAGCGTGCCTGTCTGAGCCGCCACAATTCGAGCAGGTTTGCAGCAACGGTATGTTAATTTTCTCTTAATAAAATAAAATACAATTTGAGCTAAATAAAAATTATGAAATGTATTGATAATAAAATTCAGCTTTACACATTATTAATCTCGTGTTTATATGTGTTATTTATTTTCCTATATTTGTGTCTTGTAGAGCTGCATACATGCCTTAAGCTTATCGATAAGTCGATGACTTGTACTTATCGCTCATAAACCGGCTAGCAATTTCTGCAAAAGAATTTTGTTTACATTTAACAAAGATGGCATTATCGCCGGACAATTGCGATACTTTAATGCAAAATGATGTGATTGACGTAAATGATGAGATTGCAAACAATACAACTGGAAATGAAACAGAGAAACGTCCCTCAACAGTCAAAACAGCGCAAGACGCAGTTTACGATGCTGACAGCGAAATGGTAGAATCAGCCGAAGAGGAAGACGACAAAGCACCAAAGCAAGAGCCGTGCTCAGATGATGATAGATCCACAGTGATTGCACCAATCAGCCGCCCGCCAACCGAACCGCTCTCCAAGCACAACTTAAAATGGAATCTGCGCGTCATCATCTCAAATTTGTATATGAAGAGCGAACGGCGTTTGCCGAGCGCTTGTGTGCCAAAATGCCTGCACAATACGAGCCAATGCGTCAGCCGGCATCGCTGTGCCATGCTGCCCGATGCACCCGATATCAGTATAGCTCAAGAGCTGCGCAATAATCTCTACAGGCAGCATTATGATACATATTTGGATATATTGGAAACGATGGCGCTGCAGTCAGTTTATCCAGATGAAGCGGTTTTCGATCGACTCATCGATATGATTATGGTATGTCAATTCTCCAGAGAGTTTTCTTATGTTAATTCGCTTTATTTTAGATACTCAACACAAAGAGCTTGACCCTCGAAGAGCTGCATAACAGATATAGAAATGTCATACGGATCTATTATTTGCTAGTGGATGCATTTCCTCCCTGTTGGACCGCATTGCGTCCATATTATTTAAATTTCCTGGGAGCTACGAGCGACAATCCACAAAAGCTGCAGCTGCTATTGGATTTATTTGAAGATTGCCTGGGCAAATGTAGCGTAACAGAACTGCGTGAGCTGACGCCCTACTACGAGCAATTCGTTCATGATTATGAGGCTGAGGACAGTTCAAAATTAAGCTCTGATGACATGTTTCAGCGCCATGTCCAGGACTACGACTGGCAGAGCGGCAAGCAGTGGGTGGACGAGTTTAAGGCCATGTCCCCAGCTGTGCAACTGGCACGTCTCTGCGATGCCTTGGATATGATTTGCTGGGTATTGGAACGCGAATTCTTAGCCTGGCTGGACCATAATCGTCTGCAGCAATCGGAGCCCGAGATCTTTCAAGAGGACTCCAAGCCGTTTGTGCTCATCGTCTTTGGCATAGAGAAGGACAAGAGATTAACGAAGTTAACCCAACAGTTGCTGCGTGTGTATAGTCGTGCAGCAGCTAAGTCCTTGTATGCAGATCGTTTAAGCATCCTCGAGGTAGGTGTGCTATATATACTATATTCACATAAAAACACATTTACTAAAGCTCTCATATAATTTCATTATTTCAGCGCTTTATCTCACTGCTCATGGAGGCAAGCAACACAGCGGAGCTGGAGTATGCCAACAACTCGTTAATATATCCCAATTTGGGTCCTCAGACACGCCGCCTTATTGCGGAGTTCTTTAAACTATTCAAAGTCGAAAATCCCTCGGATCTCACCACTTATATACGCACCATCTCGCAGCTGAGTCAGCCCTATGTGCGTTGGGAATTCGCGGATAATTTTCTGAGATTGTTCTACTATTCCGATGCAGCATTTGGGCCGGAAAAAGTGTGCGAGGAGCTGAAGCTAAAGCGTTGGCTCAAGTACAGGCCACGCAGCGCCATCGATGAGGCAGACAACGAACAGCTCTCTAGAGAGGACTACTTTAAGATCATGCTCAATGCGCTGCAGGATTATTGCAACTGGTTTGATTTGCAAGCCTGTTGGAAGTACATAAAAACCAAAACACCTGTCCAGCAGCTGCAGGCAAGAACAAGTAGTCCGCTGGCTACGCCTGCGGGTCTGGTTACCGAAGATGTTGGCAAAATCTTTATGCTCGATGAGATGCAGAAGGAGGCGCACACTTGGAAGCAGCGCATCAATGCAAAAGTGATTTTGGCCAGGCCCAAAGTGAATCTCCCAGTGGCTAGGATCAGCATAGGCACCATGGCTGAGCGTTATGGAAGCGATATACGACAATTGCGATATCTACGACGTATTCTGCTGGAAGTAATGCGTTTTGAGGATGTCACAGATTGGCTGAACTATGTTAACGATTTTCTGGGCGAAGATGAGCCAGCCGTTTCGTCTTAATGCCACAGAAGAATCTGGGCACAAATTCAAGTGATAGCTGTAAACTAAAGGTATTTGGTAAATCCACTACAATAAGTCAAAGAAGTGGATTTAATATAAATTTTTATACAAAGACATATTAAATAAAAAAAAAAAGTATGAAAAGTTTGTGAAGAACATAAAATATAATTTATTTACATTTTTAAAAAACATCACCAACATTAACATAAGCAGAAATATAACTTTAGCGTAACGTAATGAATGGTTTCTTAAAATGCCTTAAAAATTCAAACGAACTACAAGCGCCAAAGTCGTAAGACAAATGAACTACGTAAGCGCAGTGAAAGGAACATAAGCGCAAATTTGCGCAACATGCGCAAAAGCTCCACCGCTTAACAGAGAAGGCAGTCATTTAACAGAGTAACTCCAATGCAGGATATTATCCTGCGGACGGAGAAAAAAAATACTTTTAGTTGATTTTAGCAGCACAACCCCGTCGCCAGCAGCAGCAGGAGCAGCAAATGCTTGCCGTCGCGACAAATACGCAAAATTAAACATTGTGTTATTCTAACAAAAAAAAAAAAAAATAAATAAATAAATAAAAACTACAAATCGCGTGTAATATCAAAATTCTGCGTAAAATAGCAACAGCAAATGAACAACAACAGCAATAAAATGTGCGGTGTGTGTGTGTAACAGCAACAGCAATAACAACAACGAACCGTTGTGAGCACAGTGGTTAAAGAAATAAGAAAAACATAAAGAAGAAGACGCAAAGGGGCAACAACAGCAGCAAAGCCAAAGAAAGCGCAATCAAAATGTCGACAACAGTGGAACAGGTGAGTAAAAAGCAGACGCAACGTAACTTGAGTAAATTTATGTAATTTTGTATTTTCTTTGTATTTCGTTTTGTTATTTTCTCTTGTGTGCGGAGAGTCAATCAGTCAGTGCGGCAATGTTACGGTATTTTTAACGGTAGCCATTGCCGACAACTGCGTAACATTCAGTGTCAGTGCCGACTAGTTGTCTGTCTGTCGCTCTGTCTTTCTGTCYCTCTGTCTGGCTGGCTAGCTCTTTGTCTGTGACTGTGTGTGTGTGTGCGTGTGTAGGTGTAACCAACTTACGCGCTCTCTCTCTCTTTCTCTCTCTCTTTATGATTCTCTTTCTGTGTGCGAACGTGCATTTGTGTGTGTTTGTGTATTGGCATGCGGCTGACTGTTTTGCATTGCCATGCCAACGGCGACGCTGGCACTTCCTGTTTGGCTGATATTGCCTCGATTTGACAGTGAAATTCGATTAATTTCTAATCTGTACATCAGCTCGGGCAAGTGCCACAGCCAGACTGAGACTCAGACTCAGACTTACTCGCTCACTTTCATACGTATTCAGCGACAAATATAAATAGCTGTCATTTTGTCAGCGAATTGAAATTCAAATACAATCCACGCACACATCCACACGCATATACACGCACACATGCACAGGCACACACTCAGTCCCACACGCTAGACGCGACATTGCATGCAAATTCCGTTTGCATTTACAGTGAGGGCTCGCATATGAAGTCAAATACCTTTAGCCGGCTTAAACTTTTGCAGTTTCCAACTATTTGAGAAGTTTACTTTCCAAACAGTTTTTATACGCATTTTTAATAACGTGCGTGCATAAAAAGTTTTATGATATATCAAAAAATCCTTGCTCTGAGCTTGTTGTTGCTTAATATAGCTTTTGTTTTATGATTCAGTGCGGATGTGTTTATATGTATATATTTTATGGCAAAGTATACTTAAAATTTATGTTTTTATTTACTAGTAAAGGATATACCCTAAAATTGGACTTAATTGAGGTTTTAACTGGAAAATGAGGAGTTTTGCTTAAAAATGACTAGAATATTTTTTTAAACAAATTTAAGCCATAGATTTAATTTATAAGCATTCTATGACTTAATCTAATTTACATTGACTTCAATTCAACTCTTATTAAAAAGACGTGAAATGCTTGTTTTGCTAAATTTATAATGCTAAAGGTCTCTTAACATACATCTGCTCTCTCAACAATTGTTCTCTCAATGATGACCTCACTGTACTTTGAATCAATCGTGCATTTGCTTGTCTGCGATTTGACATTTTGTTACAGCAGCCCGTCTAGCTGGCCCCATTTAACATCCCCCAGCAGCCCCCAACCGACGCATACCCTATTTCCATATTTCAGTTTAATAAAAAGGTATTCACGACACAAGTTTTCACTTTGCGTGGCTTTAATTCTCTAATTGTATCTTAATTTTATGTAAATGTTGTCCCAGCTTCAACTGGCAGTTGGCTTATATGGCATATTCCTTTTCTTCTTCTGCTTCTTCTTCTTCTTCTTTTTCGCTTTCTTGCCTTGAAAGTCAGAGAAAAACTTTTGTTGCATATTTCTGGCGCGCATGTAGCGCGAGTCATTACGTTTTATAGACTTTATAAGAACTTCGCTGATGCAGTTTGGTCAAAAGTTTTTGCTGAGCTGCGTCGCGCTGCCAGGTGACTGCTCCTATATATAATAAATAAATATAT